CTGTGCACGTCAACGTGACTCTTTTATCGGGATTACTACTACCTCACTGACTAGAAGGCTTAGGATGCATAAACAGAGTGGTGCTATCAAATCTCATTTAGACTCAACACACTTAATCACTATAAGCCGTGAAATCCTCGACAGCAACATCAAAGTAATATACCAGAAAACCAACAAGATATATATATATATATATATATATGTGTGTGTGTGTGTAGGTGTGAATATGTGTGTGTTTTTGTCTAGTGTGTGACAATCAATCTATCTTCTTTTAGCGTCAAGAGACCTAATTACCCCGAGGTACGTTGTTTTCTTTGCCATGTTTTTTTTGCGCCAAATTAGGTGATCAGTTGTATCCATTTCATTTAAATTTAGAGCTTTCCTGTCTTGCTCAAATGTTTGCGACCAGGACTTCTTTGGACGGCTTTTGGGACGTGTGCAAGGTACTTCAACATCTGTAAGAAAAGTTTTGGCACTGTTTCCACTTCGTTTGACTTGACCAAACTACCGCAGACGTCGTTGCCGGCATTCGTCGTTTATATCATCTAAACCAGAACGACACAAGATTTCATTGATTTGATGTTAATTCGTTGCATCCATCGGAGCATTTTCATATCGGTTTGTTGAAGTTGTTGTTCCAGTTAGGTTGTTATTGGCCATGTTTCTGCACAATACAACATCACCGGACGTATCACTGATTTATAAAGTCTTGATCGTAGTGGTAGTGGGATGTCACGCCGCATCAATATAGAAGCAAGGAAATGCCATTTATTCCAGGCTGCACGTATGCGTGCTCGAACGGCAGCTTCAGCTGTTCCAGTACAATCCAGAACATCTCCTAGATATTGAAACGATGTAACTTTCTCTACCTTAATGGCTTCAAAAACATTGCTATTTCGAATTTGTTGTTGTAGATTGATGCAAGCAGGACAAACAAAATTGGACACTTTAGATAAAGTACCAATTATTTTTGAACAACGTTAACGACACAACTGGTTAAACTGCCGACACTTGATTGAATTGTTACCTACACCAGCTTTACAAACTGATCAGGGCTATCGTCCAGTAGCTGTGGATTGGATGGGTTCACCAGTGTTCATAGCTTTAGTTTTGCTGATGTTGACTTTGAATCCACGATCGGCCAGTCTGGTGTTCCAATCTTCAAACATCTGTGCTGCATTCTGTTCAGACTTGGCTGTTAAAACGATATCAAAGTCTATGTTAGATTCCAAATGTCACCAGTGCGTATCGGTTTTGTGATTTCTTCCAATACATTTATAATTAACAGTGGACTGAGAATCTAGCCTTGGTGAACACCAACGCCGATGTCAAATGCATCTGTGTTTCCAACCGTTGTGCTGACGAAAGTCTTAGTATTCGTATACATTTCCATCACAAATCGAACAAGATATTCTGGAACGAGTTGTCGACGTAGACTCCACCTGATTGCTTCACGGAGAACTCGATCAAATGCTTTTTCAAGGTCTACAAAGATGTGTGATAGTTGTTGATGCTTTGCGAGGTACTTCTCTTGCAGTTGCCCAAGAATGTGAATTGCATCAATTGTTGATTTCCCCGCTAAGAAACCAAATTGATAATTTCCGATTGTGATGCATGACGTTAATCAATGATTTTTTCGACAATTTTCAAGGAGTGTTCCCCGATAAAATGAACAGTTCAATAAATCACCTTTGCCTTTGTATAGCGGGACTGTCATGCTATAGTTCCATTCAGTCGGCATTGAGCAATTTCTCCAGATTTCACGGCAAAGTTGTAGTAACGTTTGGATACCTGCATTACCAGATGCTTTGATGATGTCATTTGTGAGTCCAGAGGGCTTTGCTGCCTTTCCATCCTTCTTAGCTTTCAGAGCTTGTGTAAGTTTCTTTACAGTGATATCTGGAATTGGACCTTCGATGGGTGGAGAGTCAAAGTTGACATTGATGAGATTTGTTTAATTTAAGAGACGGTTGAAATATTCTTTGCAATGTAGCTTGATCTCATATTTTTCAAGAACAATCTCATTTTTGTCTTCTTTGATACATGTCTTTTTTAGTACGCTTTGCTTGTTTTGCTATACGATACAGAGATTTCATTTGTTCACTTTTGATTTTAGTGAGCCACTCTCTGCACTGATCTGTCCGAGTCAGTGCCACTTGACGTGTTGCATAGTTGTTCTTCTCACGGTAAATTTTGTGGTTATCAACAGTCTTTGATTTTTGCCATTGCTTCAACAGACTTTGATTTTTGCCATTGCTGCATTGCTGGTGTGTGTATGTATGTGTGTCTGTGTTTGTGTGTGTATGTTTGATTTTTATAAACTGAGAAACACAAAACTACTATGAAATATTGTAATTAAAAAATTAATGTTTTAATGTTAGCAGATATCATTGAACATTTTTTTTAATTTACGCAAAATTGTTAAAACTTAGTATTCTTTGGTGTAAAACAGAAAAAAGTTTATAATCTTTATTTGTGTTTTGCATTTTTTCGTGCTCAAAGGGGATGTAAAAAAATCAGGAAATTTATTATTATTACATCGTTATGCGGATGATCACACCGGAGCAACACTGAATATTTACGTTTAGACAACAAATAGTAATTTGGTATTAAGCAGATTGTAAATAAATTGTTATATTAATTATTTTATTTTGCTGTTTTTTAATTTAAGTTAATGAAACTCTGCTATTAGCACAACATTATTATATCTAAGGTGTTACGAAGTACACCGGGTAAGCTAGTGCATCAGGAAATTGCATACGAAATAGTCGTAATTGTTCCTTGTTCCACACATTTGTTTGATTAGTCATTAGAAAATCATTTGTTAAAATGTAATTAAATGTAACAATAAAAAGTTAATAAAATAAAATAGATATAATCAAAATTAATTAAACTAACGTTAGCAGATAAATTCACGATTAAATGACTGTATATGTTGAAATCCAATCTATTAATCACATCTTTAATAATTGAAGACTTTCCAGTACCAGCTGGACCAACTAATAACACAGGATGATTTATCGATATTAGAGATTCAATTAAATATGCATATCTAATGGTATCAACTGTTGGAACTATTATATGGTGGAAAGGAAGCCTACAAAGACAATGCGGTTCGATATTGATTTTAATTGATAATTTAAATTCAACTTTATAATATGAAAATAACTTTAAATTGAGTTTCCATCCTGTTTTCAATTTATCTTCCCAATGTATCCATGATCTGTTTTTAACATCTAAGCAATACTCAAAAACAGTATCTTTGTTTGGAAATGTTCCATCCATCTCTCTCAAAAATGAGTCCAGTTTTTTTCTTCCATCTTCATCTACAGCTGCACAAAGAGACCATATGAGACTAAACAAAAACATCAACTCTACCAAGCGCGATAAATTTTCTTGGTCAGATAAATTAACCTGGAATGATGAAATGTTGAAAGATGGGTTAGCGGTTAGGGTTAAATGCGAGATATGCATATCAAGTTTTTCGTAAAAATTCTGATAAATTTTTCAGTTTTGTTGTTGCATAACAACCGCAAATGTAATATATTTAATCGGTATTATTGTGGCACCGATCATGTTGGAGTGCTCATCGCAATCGTGTTGTCGGTTTTTCTGTTGTTTAAATTTTGATGTTAACAGTTTCAAATCGCTTGTGATTTTTCTTTTCGATTATTTACACATATTCAACATTTGTTTTAAAAAATAGTTGATGTAGTAAAAAACAGGTGGAAAACAATTTTTGGATTCATCATACGAATTATATAAGTCATAGTTACCCAAGTTATTTTTTCAAAATTTTTGTTTCAAGATTTTCAAAAATAAAAGTATTCACATTAATTATTATAAAACTGTATATATGAAAACACTCAAATTAACAAATTACAAAACTTTAACCGTAAATATTAAGAACTGACTTGTATTGACAAAGAATCAAACAAGTTACATAAAGAGATTATTCCATTCAATTCACTAATTTCTACAGGTTCTTTACAAAAATTCATTTCTTTAAAATGTAAAACTTTCTGGATGTACTTATCGAATAAGGATTTTAATTCTTCTGTTACAGTCTACATTTGTTAAAAAAGATATTAATAATTTAACTTTATGTAACAGTATTGAACAGTTTTTAATTGAAAGTTTATAACATCTTAAGAAATGTATAAAAGTGGCGTCAACAACATGGCGTCCGGAGTGTAAGCAAAACTATAGATCATGCAACGAAAAAAACAAATGAAAAAGATAGAAATTGTTTAATTACTAGAATAAATATTAGAAGATTTATAACAAAATTGGTGTTTACAATTTGTTAAATAAAGTAGCAAATTTTAAAGAGCATCCTAAATTTTCATACAAACAATAATAAAGAGAAAATGTACAGAACTAAATGCAGTTCCAATAATTAGCATCGTATTTCAGGATCATAAAGCCAGTGATAAGCAAGTAACAGTTAATTTGGAAAACAGCGCGTTGACGTTCGTTGACCCATGAAATCACATTGCGGGTTTAATAATTTTTTATAAAACATTATGTGTAAATATAATTTCAAGAAACTACAGTAACAAAAAATTGGATCAAAAAATTAGTCAATCTAATTACTTTATCAGATTTACTACTAAGCCAAGATTTTACGTATGGTTGCCATTTAATTTCATCATATTCGAAATACACGACGCTGCAGCGAGAAATTGTTGAAGGAGAAGTGTTAGACAACTCTTCAACTTCAAAAATTAATGATACCTGTAGTTATGAAATTTTATTTCAAAAAAGAAAAAGAATTATAATAAAATTTTAAGGTTAATAACTCATTTTCAATTCATTTTAACCAAAACAACAACAATGTTAAGTTTTACTGATAGTTTTATAATTATTAAAATGAAAAAAAATTATCAGGATTCATTATGTAATTGATTTTTTCTGCAAAAACTAACTGAAGAACAAATTTTAAATTAGCGATCCGAACGAAGTTGATAAATTTATAAATGTAAGTAACTGATGCTTGTGCTCCCTGTGCTGCTCTATGGATGCGAGGCGTGGTCAACTACTGGTGCTCATTTAAAAAGACTAGAGATCAATAGTGCTTGCGCAGGATCCTTTGTCTGACCTATCGCGATCGCGTCACCAACGTTGAGATGAGGAGAACACAGCAGCCCTCCGTTTCCTCACTCCTGTCCGGGCGTCGTTTAAACTTCGTTGGTCACATAGCTCGTGCCAGTCCTATGGAGGATCATTACCGAGCTTGAAAAGCTGTCATGACCGACCGCCACCAAACTGGACTCGACCGTTCGGCCGTCCAAGACAGTCATGGATCCGCTCAGCGGAAAAGGACCTGCCCCTCATCAACTAGGGTCCTTACTCGGCCTGGAGACTTACTCATGATCGCTTGAAATGGAGGCACCTTGTGAACACGGCATTTCCATCACAAGTTGAACAAGATATTCTGGAATGAGTTGTCGACGTAGACTTCACCTGATTACTTCACGGGGAAGTCGATCAAATGCTTTTTCAAGGTCTACAAAAATGTGTGATAGTTGTTGATGCTTTGCGAGGTACTTCTCTTGCAGTTGCCGAAGGATGTGAATTGCATCAATTGTTGATTTCCCCGCTAGAAAACCAAATTGTGAATTTCCGATTGTGATGCACGACGTTAATCAATGATTTTCTCGACAATTTTCAGGTTCCCCGATAAAATGAACAGTTCAATAAATCACCTTTGCCTTTGTATAGCGGGACTGTCACGCTATAGTTCCATTCAGTCGGCATTGAGCAATTTCTCCAGATTTCACGGCAAAGTTGTAGTAACGTTTGGATACCTGCAGTACCAGATGCTTTGATATGTCATTTGTGAGTCCCGAGAGCCGTGCTGCCTTTCCATCCTTCATAGCTTTCAGAGCTTCTGTAAGCTCTACTACAGTGATGTCTGAATCGGACCTTCGATGAGTGGAGCGTCAAAGTTAACATTGATGGGATTTGTTTCTTTTAACAGACGGTTGAAGTATTCTCTCCACTGTAGCTTGATCTCATCTTGTTCAAGAACCATCTCATTTTTGTCGTTTTTGATACATGAGGCACCAACTATGTCTTTTTTCGTACGCTTTGCTTGTTTTGTTATACGATACAGAGATTTCATTTGTTCACTTTGCTTTTAGTGAGCCACTCTCTGCACTGATCTGTCCGAGCCAGTGCAACTTGACGTCTTGCATAGTTGTTCTTCTCACGGAAACTTTTATGGTCATCAACAGACTTTGATTTTTGCCATTGCTTGTATGCAACTTTCTTTTCAGCTATTGCATTTTGTACACTGTCATTCCATCACCAAGTGTCCCGTTCATGCTCACGTTTGGTACCAGTTTTCCCACAAACTGTAGTTGCAGCGTTTATCAAAACGGTTTTGTATGTACTCCAATCTCTACTGGCTTGCGATTGGTGGTCTAACAGTGTGGCGACAAGCTTTCAAAATAACATGAGTATAAAACGTTTTTCCTAACTAATTTTTGAGTACAAGCCAAAGAAATTTACAACTGTTTGTCAATTTACTCATTCAATAAAAAATTGGTTTAAAAAATCAAAATTAATTCACTTGTTCAGATAATGATATACGTTCTCCATTGATTAATGTCAACAATCTATTGTCATCCATCAAAGAATTCATGCTTTCAGTCCATAGCGGATCAATGCAAGAATCAAATATAATCCACTTTTCATCTAATTTCTCATCTGGTTGAAAGGAGAAATTGTTTTAAATAAAAATTTGTATTTTGAAACAATTTTCTTTCCTCTTGAAAAATATATTTTAAAAATAAATCATGCGTTAACGAGCGTCAGGTTAAGAGTTGCTGTCATTTTGCACTGACAGACATTCTATGCTCACTCTGCGAGGCTTAAAAACCCAATGGGATACTTGCACGGAAACTATACGTGTAACTAGTGTTACTTAATAACGTAGAAAGTCTAAGATGAAGTAACAAAAAAAATTTGTAAACAAATTTGGGTAAGACAGATTTGCATAAAAAATTGAGTAAACAATTTTTTATTTATATGCAATATGTTGAAACGTTTTACTGTTATATCAATTAATTCAACAATAAACAAAAGTTTTAGAACCTGCGCAAACCACTCGAAGAATATTTGGTATTATGCCATCAGTCCATTTGCCGGTAATTAAATTGAATTCTCCGTATAGTTCTGATATAGTATAAGCTTTAGGATTTATTGGATAGTCCTAAGATAAAAAAAAATTTTAAATTTTTACAATATCTCTTTTTTAAACCAGATTTTTACTACCATCATAAAAACAATTTTTCACATTTTTGTATATGATTTACGCTTACAACATAATAACTACATCTTTTACCCATCTGAAACATTTGCAATTTGAATGATATACAAATAGATAATCTCCTACACACATTAAACTAATCTGAACTAAAATTTACCATAGAAAAATCCAATGACAATAAGCTCCCATTTCTGTACATATTAGAAAAAATAACAATAATAAATTTGCAACCTCTTGTCTACGCCAAACCTACAACAAAAGACTACAACAAGAGATTATGCCTTGACGGAAACCAGTACTATACAAAGTATTTTCCGCTTTAATAAAATCCAGATTGTATAATTTTCTTGAAAAAAATACTTTCATGAACAACAAAATCCAGAAAGCTTCTATCCAGCAGTTGATGGATTGGCCGAACATACACAAATGTTCTCTCATTTGTTAAATAACGCAAAAAGACATTAACGTACCATTGTAGTCGCATTGCTAGATCTACGGAATGCATTTTAGAAGTAAGCCATCATCTTATCGATTTCGTTTTGAAATACCATCATGTTCTACAGCCATTTCACGATTTAATTAACTCAATATATTCTGACTATTCAATATCAATAGCAATTAATGGTGAATTAATGCAGGCAATACCAGTCAGAAAAGTTGTGCTTCAAGGCGATCCGTGTTCACCATTACTTTTTAATATATGCTTCAATCCTCTCAGGAATACAAACAATTTGGTTACCTGTGGGACCCAATCTCCGACTTAAAAGCTAGATCATGCCGACAATTTGCCGACGATTCGGCAATAATATCGGCAGTACTGAAGGCGACCAAAAACTAATTGATCTAAACCAGGCCTGGTGCATTTGGTCAAAGATGAAGATGCGAGTTGATAAATGCTTTTCCTTCGGAATGAGAAAACTAGATGGTACCTATCAACAATTCATGCCAAGATTGACCATTGACGACGCAGCTATCCCCAATGTAGAGATTGGCCAGGGTTTCACTTATCTAGGCAAGTTATTTGACTACGATTGCAATGATAAAAAAAACAAAACATGATTCACAGAAAAGTCGTTCAACTGCTAGAAACAACTACAAAATTAGATGTCAGCCTACCACAGAAGCTTCAAATTTTAAGAAAATACCTACCTTCACAGCTAAATTTTGAACTGAGTAGCTACAAATTCTCGCTGACCTGGATATCTGAAAACCTAGATAACCTAATTGTAGAAACGGTTAGAGAATGGCTAAACATGCCAATCAGCAGCTGCGTATCGGAACTATTATCACTGCCTTCGAAAATAGCGAGACATGACATCATCTCATTGAAAAGTACTGCAGAAAAAATGAGACTGAAACTCCGTAATTATTTCAAAATCAGCGGCAACAAAGAAATCCAATGTTTATGGAGAAAATCATCCATTGATTATATCAAGATTGATAATGAACTTGCGAAGGGAGGCACGTTAAAAACATCGCTTAAGCATCTGGAAGATGAGAGGATTGAATCTAACTTAAACCATCTACTTTCATTGCAAGCCAAGGTTCATTGATTTCAAAATAAAAAATTTTGTTCAATCTTCCCGCATATCATGTTGGTCAAAGACATTAGAAAATCTCAGCGAGGTCCACTACAAATTTGCCAGAAAGTATCTTGTCCAGCAGTTGCCAACAAGTGCGAATTTGTTCAAATGGGGCAAAACACAAAACCCTCTATGCCAATTGTGTGGTCTTCGCCAGACAAATAAACATGTGCTCTCCAACTGCGGTTCCAAGTCTGCTCTAGGAAGATACACCGAAAGACACAACAATGTGATGACCGCGATCATCACCTGGTTAAAAATCTGTGCTCCAAATATCATATTTGCCGACCTAGATTTAGATGATGTTCGCCCAATAACACAACTGTTCAACACCCTTTGTCCCGACATTGCCATTCTCTGTAACAACAAAATAGAAATTTTAGAATTAACAGTCTGTCACGAAACCAACCTCGAATCCTCCAGACAGTATAAAAGAGATAAATATTCAAATAAATTGCAATCATGTTTAAATGACAACTACAAACATTGCTCGATAACTATAAATTCGTTTGAAATAACACCTATTAGTTTTTATAATAATTTTAATCTTTCTCTATTTAAAGTTTTATGGCCGATTTCTTTCAATGACAAATTAATAAGTGAAGTAATAAGATCCTCGTACAATATTTATTGCAATAGAGAAATGCCATGATACTAACTTTTAAATATATTTTACCGCACTACACTTGCCAACGCAATGAGCTGGTCTACATACACTTTTATTAATTTTATAATTTCATTAACGCTATATCATTTTATTTCATCTATTTTATTCATTTGCTTTTAAAGTTTGAGATCAATAAAAGAGTTTTTATTATTATTATTATAGTTTCTAATATTATTATTATTGTTGTTGTTGCTGTTGTTGTTGATGGTGTTGTTGTTATTATCATTATTGTCATAAAGCTTCAATTTTAAACAGACTCAATCTTGTCGATAAAACACTAATAAATCGGTGGAATTTATTACATATTGTCAAGAATTCGGTCTTCTAACAGCATAAGTATTATAATGTGTGTGTGTATATATATATATATATATATATATATATGACAACATTTAATATATATATATATATATATATATATGACAACATTTAATATATATATATATATATACACGGCAACATTTAAAAAATAAATAAATGTTTATATATTTATCGTTTTCGGTATTTTTCTCCTTTACATTAAAATGATGCAGACTACAAAGAAATGACATTTGACAGTCTGCACAATGTTTCTGTTATATACCTAACACGATTTTCACCAAACAATAAAATTTATATTTTTTGAGAACTTCGTAATTTTAAAAAAATAATATTTTACATCAAGTTATTATCAAACAAAAACAATTTTTTTTCAACGCACGCAAACTCGGTTTCAACAAAAATAACCAACTTTAAAATTTGTAAACCTCAATAAAATATAAGTTTTAACATGTAAACGACAATTTAATTTAAAAAAATTTAGTATAATCAAATGAAAAAATAAAATGTATATTTTAAATATGATCATTTTTAAACAGATTTTTTTCACAAGATATAAATTACGTCAATTTTACTTTTGCTAGTTGAAATCCAGATTCAATATCTTTGGCCAGACTGTTATATGTTGCCTGTAATACTTTGGTGCAAGTTGATTTTCCAGATAGCGTGTTACCAACTAGCATAAGACAATGACATGAGATTTTTGTTTCATGTATTTGCATCACCTTTTTAGCTAAATGTCTGGTTATTTGAAGGTTCAGCAATTGCATCTGATTTTCTACGATATAAGTAAACTTGAAAAATTTATATACAAAATATTATTTATAAATTATTTAAGTCACAATTATGTAAAAATGAAACAATATAATCGAAACGAATATCTACTTTATTGTTTTCTGTTGTGGGTGTTTCTACCCCAGGAAATAAATCTGATACCAATCCTTTAAACAAGGAAATGTCAGCAACTGCTAATTTAGCTAAATTCATTTCTATCAGAGAGAGTACAATAATCTGTAAAAATAAACATTTTTATCATTTTTTTAGCAAACAAAAATCATCTTGAATAGGTACATTTACCTCTTCTTCTGGCATTATTGCGTTATTTCTTCTTTTATCTCCAGCATATTTTATAAACGAATTAAGAGCCCTTAAACCGAATTCATAATGTTTTAACTTAGACAATTGCTGCTGAGATAGAGCATACAAGGTAACAATTTTTTTCCCGAGAATCTGAAAATTTTAATACATCTAAAGCTTTGTTTTGTAAAAATTATTATCGATGTTCACATTTCAAGGTTAACAACACCTTCTTGAATAATAATAATAATAACTATAATTCATTTTATAAAGCGTCATGACGAGCGACTGAGGCGCATTATTATTACAACAATGTACACACAGTGTATGTACATACACGTGAATCCACACATTACTTTGTGTATGATAGAATATCTTAACATACATAGTCGGTCAATGCATCAGCAACGCTAGGAACCTAAACCCTCCAACCACCCAAATAATCATTTACAATATCAATTGTTGAAAATATTTATTAAAAAAAATACTCTTTAAAAACCTTAGTATTAGAAAATCCTTCAACAAAAAGTCTTGCTTCTGCGATTATGCCTGTATCAGGAGATGACATGGATATTGGCCTCAGCATAGATTTCAAGTTATCGGGCAGTTCCAAACAACCTTCATTCCCTAATAATAAACATTTTCTAACAAAACCATTTTTAATAGCGTAAAAAAACGTTTATGTTCACTTAAGTTAAAAGTGGTAAATATTCCACAAGATATATTCAATTTAATTTCATTTCCTTCAAATACAAATTTTTGAGATCCTATAGATAAGGCAGTAATAATAGATAAAATCTGTTGAGCAACAACTGATAAAACTTCAATATCAATTCTGTTAAACTCATCAAAACATCCCCATGCACCTGACTAAGTAGTATTATTTTAGTTGTTATTTTGATAAATAAATAACAATTGTAAAATTTTACTTGTGATATTCCTGAAAACAATCGACCAAGAGATTTATAATCTAAGTTTTTGGAACAGTTTATAACGACTATATACACTCCTAGCACTTTCCCTAAGTCTCTAATTGTCTCAGTTTTACCTGTCCCTGAAATTCCTCTCACTGAACCACCTTTATGAATGTGCAAAGCTGAAGTCAATGTAATAAAGACCCTTGTAAAGAAAAAAATTATTATGTTATAATTATAAATAACAAAACGAAATGTAAAAATTGATATGCAAATAACCTCAATGTTTGAAACAAATTGTCAATTTTTTCTTTTTTTAACCAAGTAAAAGAAATAATTGCGCTATTAAATCAATATACAACAAAAAGTTTCTTATCTTAAATTGTTCTTTCGTTAATTCTTCCGTTCCTAGCAAACTTGCTAGGATCGGAATTTTCTGTTAACAATAAGATTTTATTAAGACAACAAAAAGAATGTTGCAACTTCTGAACAAACTACTGGAAATAGACAAGTAAAAAGAAAAACCAGTAAAACATCGTTGGCTAAAAATAGCTGTTAGATGAATGGACGATAAATTTAACAACGATATTTTCACATACTGCTGCAATTAATTGAAATAAATCCTTGGTAAAAGATTTGTGATGATTGTCAAAAACTCACAATAATTACAACTAATTTTTTTCTTCAACATGGTTACGACACAACACTTAATATAATAATACAAACAATTTTGGGAAGGGCACTATGCAACTGACACCCTAATCTCAAACTTTGACTTTACAGAAAATAATAATAATATGTAATTTATATAGCACCCTATGCAAGAGTGATCAGGATAAGTTGCTATCGTAGCGTACCCATACACCTGATAGTTGGGTTTGATCAGAGTTGATGGACGGAATGTTGTCGAAAATGTAAAAGATTAAAAAAGTATTGTGGTTGTTTGTTAAATGGTAGGTTATAACCATGAGTGTAAATATAATGTTAATGCATATGCAACTAATTATTTATTAGTGAAAAGGTACTGGATGTGAGGTAAAAGGTTGACAAGTTTGTTTTGTACCCGTCGAATAGATGAAATAAAATAATGTGAGATGCCAGATAAAATAGAGATGCAATAATCAAGGCAAGATAAAACGAGACTAAGCTCAGATTGCTAAAATTGATGTGTACTAGATAGAATAAATAAATGTAACAACGAGACCAAATCGTTGTGTTGTTGTTCTGCATCAGACATCTGCCTGAAGATTCAGGTGTGTTTGGAGCCAGTTTGCCACAGCGATTAAGTTTTGCCAGAAATCTATTGTTGTAAGTTTTGTCGGGTTACTGGAGCAGCTAAATGGATGGGGAACATCATCCGGATGACGTTAGCAGGGAGTTCAGAGTTGGGGTGTCCAAATTCAGCAATCCACAGTTAGAGTCGTCGATCTCTTTTGCCAAATTTTCACCCTGTGAGTCCGGGATGCTGGAATATCATAGTGGGTCGTGTGCACTGGGATCACCCACTAGGATTGTATTTGGGATGGTCAAGGAGTAAAAAATGGAAGCTTTGAAGTTCGGAGTACAGACAGATTGGGGTGGAATGTAGATATTGATGATGTTAATGTTACTAACATTGATAGTTATGGCTTGGTTTTCTATTGCTTTTGAGTTTTTTAATTGTTTGACGGTGAATGGGATGCTGGAGTGAATCAACATGATCAAACCGCCACATCGCGGTTATTTACGGTCCATGCGGTGCAGGGCGTAACTATCAAACTCTGGAACTTTTGATTGGGTCGTGAGCTTTGACTCTTGAATTGCTGCTGTATTTCTTGGACTTACCTACAATTAGTCGAAGTTATTGCAGACGGAGAATCTAGATACCGTAACTGCAATGCAGGCGGTAAAGAATGTAACTCAAGTACTTTTTAACTGCAGAGAAAATGGAGATAAAGAATTAAAATTTATAAATACTCAAACCAAAGATCTGTGTGATGAATTAAATATAGAAATGGTTATTCCAAGAACCACAAAATTTAGTAAAAATCTATGTAATGTGACTTCACAGGATCCGGAAAATTATTTTCGAATATCCATTTTCAATTCTTTCTTGGAAGAATAAAATATAGGCCAAAAACAGCCATTGAAGCATTGGCAGAATGCAATTCCACCCTATTTCCCAATATTCAGGCAGTGTTATCAATTATGGCAGTTCTACCAGTATCAACGTCAACAGTTGAAAAATATTTTTCAACACTGAAAAGAATTACAAATTATTTGAAAAATAGCTCTAATGAGGAGCGACTCACTTTATTGGCACTACTATCTATTCATCGGGATATATCTATCTATCATGGATGTTTACGTTTAGCTTGATGGCGGCACGTTTTCTCGGTGGTTTTTTAATTTGGGTGGATTCTTGTTTTCTGCTTCTGAACAAGTGAGTTCTCTTCTTTTTTACTATGACTATTTTTTTCTATATCTTTCAACATCTTTTCCTTAACTTGAAAATATTATTATGTCTTATTCTAGAGACTTTCTCTTAAGCCTTTCTAACACTCCTTTGTCTCCGACGAGAGTAGTTCGGCGGCGAATTTTTTAGGTCTTAGGTCTAATAATAACAATAAAAATAATAAATCTAACTCTAACAAAAAAATAAATATAGTTAGTAACCATAATTATATTAATAATAATAATGTTATTAGCAAGTATAATAAGAATAATAATAATTTTATTAAATCCTACTCTAATCCTAATGTAATTAATACTAATGATAAGAATAATAATTCTAATTCTATTAGTTTAAATAATATAACTAGATTTAAAAATACCAATATTCAACCTACCTCTACATTTTCACTGTTTAATATTAACATAAGATCAATTAATAAAAAATCGCTCTATATCCATCAAATAATCTCTTCCTCCTTACCTGATTTTTTTACTCTTACTGAAACTTGGCACGAGGACTCTAACTCTCCCTCTCTTATTCTTGCTACTCCTGATGGTTACAGCTTCCTTGAACTCTCTAGACCTCCAAAAAATCTTCTATCATCTTCTCATTCTTCTTATGGAGGTATCTGTCTGTTTTATAAATCTCTATTTACTGCTTCCATTAATACTTCCTTTCACTTTTCTTCTTTTGAATGTCTTGCTGTATCTCTTAAGTCTTCTTCTCTATCTTTCTATATTGCTGTAATCTATCGCCCTCCTTCTTCTTCTCTCACTTTATTTTTAGATGAATTCTACTCACTCGCTGAATCTCTCTATTCTTTTTCTATTCCTTTCTACATCTCTGGTGATTTTAACTTGCACTTCAATAATTTATCATGTTCTTACACTTGTAGGTTTAATGATATTTTGTCTCTTTTTAACTTAACTCAATATTGTTCTTTTCCTACCCATACTTCTGGTAACACTATTGATTTTATTATACCTTCATCTTTTTCTAAGCCTATTAATATCTCTGCTAGCTCTGTTCCTTACTCTGATCACCTTCTTAATGAATCTGTTTTTTCATTAGATTTTCTTCCTTCAAATTCATCTATGTCTATTTCTAAAAGATGCTGGTCTTCTCTTAATAAAGATATTTTTCTTCAATCTCTTACTGAACCTATTTTTGATACTACCTTATTTTCTGATGTTGATGATTTTGTCTGTGCTTTTAATATCTACATTACTTCTATTCTTGATAAGCTTATTCCTCTTAAATCTTTTACTTATAGGCTCTATTCTCGTAAGGCTCCTTGGTTTGATTATGCTTGTGTAGTAGCCAAGAAAAGTCTTAGAAGACTGGAGAAAGCCTATAGGTTAAATCCATCTAACTCTCTTTATTCTATCTATGAATCTGAATTGATTAATTATAAATATCTACTATTCTCTAAACACTCTACTTTTCTTAGAAATTCTATAACATCTGCTTCAACATCTAAAAATAGGTGGTCTGTTCTATCTAAACTTCTACATAAAAAATCTTCTCACTCATCTTTCTCTGCTCAACAGTTTCATGACTTTTTTGTAAATAAAATTACTTCTTTAAGAACATCTAATTCTAATTTTCCTTCTCATAACTTTACTAAACTTACTACTGAATCTTTCTCTGTATTTACTCCAATAAATCTTTTAGAACTAACTAAAATTATTAATTCTATGTCGTCTACAACCTGTTCTCTAGATCTACTTCCTTCTAATTTACTTAAAGAATTCTCTTCAATATTTTATCCAATCATTCTCAAATTAGTTAATTTATCTCTTTCCACCTCTAAATTCCTACT